TATCCCCAAAATATTGTAACATTTTTATAAATAATTATTTTTTTTAAAAAAAAGTGTTTTCTTTCCTAATTAATGTTTTACAGATACGATGTTGCCATGGGGATTAATACAATGGGACCTAAACACATACTAGACTTCGCCAAGAAATGTCAAAATTTAAGGATTCTTCTCCACGTATCCACTGGTTAGTGCTAATCAAGATGCATGCACATTTTTATTTTGTGGAATTGCAAGAATTTTTTATCTATATTTTGTGGAATTGCAAGAATTTTTTATCTATTTGTGACGATCACAAGGAGGTAAAACCAATATCTGTTTCGACTAAAATCAAAAAGGTCAATAGGTTATTCTCATTGGAATTATACATGAAACCTTGCGGTTATTGAGTTAACCGTCCAACCAATTTACCCCAAATATCTACTTTTTAAGGTGATGAGAAAAACTTGTAACCAACTTAGGATATTTTATGGGTAAATTCTGCCTTGTGACCCTAGCCGACAAAGACCAACTTGTCCCAAATATTTGCTTTTTTAGATGACAATGAAAACACGCAACCACTACCCGAGAGTGTGCAGTGAGTAAGCTTCACCTCGTGATCCTAGCCGGCAAAGACTAACTTGCCCCAAATATTTGCTTTTTTAGGTGACAATGGAAACCCGCAACCACTACCCGAGAGTATATGTGCACTGGGTAAACTCTGCATTGTGACCCTAACCGACAAATAGTCACAATGAATAAGTCAATCTATGTTGTCCATAACTAACCGACTCAAACCAAAAAAAAAGACAATAGGTCATTCTCATAAGAAGTCAAACTCTTAACTCGATGGTTACTAAATCAACAGTCTGACTAATTTCACTGTAATTGACCCAAATATCTAATCTTTTTTTTTATTATTATTAAATATGTTGTAGAGTAGTTAGGGTCAATTATTGGGTGAACCAGGTTTGTGAATTGGGTGTGAGCTGTAGGTATGTACCACACATGTTAGTAGTACCTCTTTGTTATTTCTTTTTTTGCATCAAGAGAGATTTCACTATCTATGATTCACATAATATTTAATAATGTTGGAGATGAATTGGGTAACGTAAATTTTAATTATTATTTAAATATGTTCAGCCTACGTGTCTGGTGAAAAGGAGGGGTTGATACAGGAGACTCCATACCAAATGGGTGAAACACTGAATGGAAAATGTGGGTTGGACATTGAGAGAGAGAAGAAGATGATTGAAGAAACTCTGAAAAACCTCAGAGCTGAGAATGCTTCTGAGAAATCCATTTCCTCAGCCATGAAAGAACTGGGCATCCAAAGGTACTATACTGTCTTTTTTTGAAGTATAAATAATATCCAGTACAATCACATATTATCATACTTAGGTTATCTTTGTTGCCGTTAATGTACAATCCAACTATCAACTTAGCCTTTTAGTTGAGATAGAGCACGGTCACACTTTCAATATATATAATTTAAAAAAAAAAAAAAAAAAAAAGCTGCCAAATGGTTAGTTATGTGACTCATTGATTGAATGAATGAAAAGTCAAAAGACAAAAAAGCAGAGTGAATCATTCCCTACTGTTGAGGATACTGTGGTTAATGATGATGGTTGTTGCGTGACATTTATTGATGTTTTGTTGCCCATAAATGGAGTGTTTGGTTGGATTGAAAAAGAACTCGGTGTTGTAAAAATTTATATATCCTCGTGTGAATATGCATAATTATACGTTCTAATTATACAACAAAGAAGAGAGAAGAAGAAGACCGGAACTCCAGAAAAAAATTCTCATTAGATCACCGCTATCCAATGATCCTAAAAAAATAAGATAATGGCTACCAAAATATATATTTTACAATATTCGGAATAATTAAAATTTCTAAAATTTGATGAAACATGATTATTGGGAGTTTTTTTTTCAATGAAATTTGAATTCTTTAAATTTGTGAAAAATGCACTTTCCTTTGGTATTTCAATTCCAAAGTCATTGCGGAAAATTGTAACATTATGAGACAAAAATACTTTTATACATCTTTTGTTAATTATTATTGTGTAAATGCATGGTAGTTTTAATACACATTATTCTTTAAACTAATATTTCCACAAGACAAAGAATAAAATTAATATTAATATTTCAAATAATTTGTTTTCCACATAATTTAAATTATATTCCTAAAATTTTGTTGTTTTTTTTTTCACAAACCAAACCGGCGTTAATGAAGTTGGCCACAATTACACACTGTATTTATGGCGATACCTAAAACCTACCGTACAGGATAACTTGGGGATTAGTTGTTTGTCAGGGGATAAGTCTTTCTATAGGATTCATTCAAATTGAATTTAAAATTTTGAGTAAATTTGATTAATTATTGATTTAAATATTTTAAATTATATAAATTCTGTATGATAAAATAGTTAACCTATAAGTCAATTTTGACTTATTTGACCACTATTAACTTTTTAAGTGTTTGGTTAATTAGCTTTTTGTAACTCCAAAATGCTAAAATTAAAAAAAAAAAAACTGTCCAAAGTAACTTTTTCAAATAACTTTTTGAAAAAGGAATTTATACCAAACAGCTATCAACTAACTAATTTACCAAAAACCTTTCTATAATCAGCTAATGTTATCAATTAGTTATACCCTCTAACAAACTCAATCAGCTAACAGCTATCAACTAACAACCATTTATCAAACAAGGCCATAATGTATATAAATATAAATTTTGTTCGAATATTAAATTTCAAAAATATGATCTAAAATCTCCAAACATCACCGAACCATGTTGATATCCACCCATTTTTCATTCTACTTTGCTAGAATTGTGATGGTTGTGACACTAATTACATTTCTCTAATGAATACCAAAGAGCAAGGACATATGGATGGCCAAACACTTATGTATTCACAAAGGCCATGGGAGAGATGCTTTTGGGGAAGTTAAAAGATAATGTGCCTCTTGTTATTATACGGCCTACTATCATAACCAGCACTTACAAAGAACCCTTCCCTGGTTGGGTGGAAGGGATCAGGTACCCAATCATCCACTCTGTTCAACTTTTTTTTTTCTTATTATTATGACATCATAATTGATTTATTTTGTTGCAAAATATAATATATGCAGAACCATTGATAGCATAGCAGTTGCTTATGGTAAAGGAAGACTAACATGCTTCCTTGGTGATCCTAAAACCATTATAGATGTGGTGAGTGAGTGACCTATCTCTAATATAAAGCATGAAACTTTCACTTCTAAAGAAACTAAAATCAAGGTAACTTATCAGTTATCAACAAGTATAATATATTATATAACTTTATAAGTATATTGAAATTACAGATCCCAGCTGATATGGTGGTGAATGCAATGATAGTAGCAATGGTTGGGCATGCAGATGAAAGAGGGTGTGAGAGAATATACCATGTGGGATCGTCGGTATCTAACCCATTGGAGCTCCCGTGGATACAGGATTTTGGGTACCGACACTTCTCCAAGCATCCATGGATAGGCAAGGATGGAAAGCCTGTTATCGTCGGGAAGGTGACTGTGTTAAGCACCATGGCTAGCTTCCAAACATACATGGCCATTCATTATCTACTCCCTTTGAAGGTTTTTCCTTCTTTCTTTCTTCTTTCTTTCAGTAACCACATTAAGTTTCAACTAATGTGCAATCAAATCCTATGAGAGAGACATACTATCTTTATTGTCAACCCCTATGAGATAGACATTCTATTGTTCCCAACATTTCAGTGAATTTATTTGACAAATTATAAGTAAGAGTCCTATATAGAAACTCAAAGTTTGTTAAATAAACTCATAAAACACTAGGGACACTAGTCTCATATAAGGAAAAGAAACCAACTGAGCTAGCCTTATGGGGCTAGCTCAGTTGGTTCAACCGAGTGTACAGGTAAGGGTGAGAACCTGAGGATTGATGAGATGACTCGTCATTTACCTCCTTGGATTAGTCTGCCATAAGCTAAGATATCTAGGGGGTGTTTGGTAAATGACTGTTAGCTGATTGGGTTAGTGGGTTTGACTAGTTGATAGCATTAGCTGATTGTAGAAAAGTGTTTGGTAAATTAGCTATTAGTTGTTAGCTGATTACATACAAAATGACTTTCTCAAAAAGCTTATCGAAAAAGCTAATTTGAACAGCTTTTTGAATTTTAGCATTTTGGAGCAATAAGTTGTTACAAAAAACTAATTAATCAAAAACTCATATTGATTGTTTAACCAAGTCAGAAAGCTAATAGTGGTCAAATAAGCCAAAATTGACTGATAGGCTAACTATTTTACCAAACAGGGCCTTAATGTATCAAAAAGAATGAAAAGGAAATCAAATTTCATACTAACCTCAACCTGTCATTTAAGCTTTTTTATCGAGTGACCGAGTCTATAACTATGGTATAACTCAAGGACCGATATATCATTTTCCTCCTTTGATTTGCATCCATGGTTGTACTTTACAGGGGTTGGAGATAGTGAACACTGCATGTTGTCAGTATTTCCAGAGTATATACCATGAGATGGATAGGAAAATCAAGTTTGTGTTGAAGCTGGTAGACCTATATCGACCCTACTTATTCTTCAAGGGACTGTAAGTACTTAAACATTTAATTTAATTAATCATGTTTTTTTTTTAATTACTCTTCACAAGAAAATTAAACTGGAATGAATTTTGTGCACAGATATGATGATATGAACACAGAAAAATTGAGAAGAGCAGCAAAAGAAGGGGGCATCGAGACTGATTTGTTCTACTTTGACCCAAAAGTAATCTGCTGGGATGATTACTTCGTGAAGACCCACATTCCTGGATTAGTAAAACACGTTTTCAAGTGATTTACATTAATCCTAAGTCAATCATTATTTACTATGAATCTTAGTACTGGGAAGCTGTATTCTTAATTAACTTGCATACTATTCTGTTTTTTTGTTCTACACTTGTACTGTACCCTCTGTATGTTACCAAACTGTATTAATATATATTGAGTGTTACTCGTATTATATAACTATGTAAAATATTAAAAATTATGTGAAAACACATAAAAAACTGACACAAACATCTACTTGTGTGAGCATCATATCTAAGGTTTTTTCATGTGAATATCAGATTACAAGAGTCTAAGGTTGCAGACAGGTGAATATCAAGATCTTTCTTTTCTCTTACGGGCTAATAATTCAGGCTTATTACTACCATTGCTAGAAGAATCAGAACTCCTGTTTAATATATTTGAATCTGAATTCGGGAACTGATCACTGCTAGGAATTTCACTGGTTTCAGAAGTTTCTAGACTTACATGTACTTTATTCGAGTCCTTGCAGTCGGGTCTCGTGATGCAGAGCCAAGCACTTGAAGACTTGTCATCAGTTTCGCTTGCTACGGGCACATGCCAAGATCCTTTCTCTGATTCCTGAAACACAAGACACTGCTATGTCACGATTTGGAACCTCAGTGTGTGCAATCATTATAGGATCTGTTTTTCTTATGGGTAATCTCAGAAGTATATATTTGGTAAAACAAAGATAGGACAGCGAGATGGAACGTTATCTATATTTGGTAATTTATCAAAAATTATCATTTTTCATAACACAGGTGATAACAATCATTTATTTTAACGAACAGAGATGTTTCTCCTTCCTGAAGCATGAACCAGCTACATTGAATCGAAAAAAAAAAAAAAAAAAAAAAAAAAAAAATGAAAGCCACGATGAATAAATATGAAAATACCTGGATGACAACAGAAAATGACGGTGGCATCAAAAGCTCCAGGTGACCTTTCACAAAGGTGTACCTTACCTACAAAATAGGTTCCAAGATTACATTAAACATGCTCTTTTTTCCTATTTAGAGGAATGCATTTATCAAAGGGACGAAACAACATTAGATTAATATCCAAGTAGTATCCAACAACTATAAGAGGAATAACTAAGTTGGTTTTCCTTGACTTTCCTAGACCATAGTTTCACCACAACCAAGTCAAGAGTATTATGTTGTTTTAGTGCACTTCAGAAAAGGCACAACAAAAGCAAGTTCCAGTATACTTCATAATTAGTAGCATAGTTCATTTATACTAAGAAAAATCGTCCATAACACTATAAAGCTATAGCACAACTATGGCAGTTCATTTCAGGAAAGAAGGAATAATCAGAAAATCTCAACACTAGTGTTCAGTGGAAGAGGAAAACGAACTTAAAGAAATATGCCAACCTGATGTCTTTCTTTCCATCTGATAAAGAAATTGCTACCCAAAAGCTCAAAAATGTGATCTCTCATTTCGTCATTTGTCACAAGCAAACACTTGGATTTCACAGCAGCAAAAAGCCAGTACCTAAATTGTAGTGACCATATCCATAAGCATATCATTACAGAGATATAAAACCAATGCTAAGGTATATAGCTCTATAATTACATCAGCAGACAAATGTGCCAAAAGAGGATGTCGTTTCTAAAATAAAAGGTCAGCAATCAAATTGAAAGGAATATTGGAAACAATACAGATGTAACTACAATCTGTAGAACTTAGAAATGGAGTGCAAAGACAAAAGTTACACTATATGGAGCTACTGAGTCAATTGAATGAAAAGACAATGGATCAAAAATGAAGTACCAATCATCATTCGATCCATAAGGTGTTGCATAAAGCACTCCTTCGTCTATCCATTTCTCAACGAGCTCTCTATGGCTAGCATTCTCAAGAAGTGCCCGAACACGTTTCGTGTGCAAGATAACAAGGGGCCATTTCTTACTCCTATTATGCAAATCTTCAACAACTGCAACAAGCTGCTCTATTGCAAATTAGGAATAGAACAAAGTTAGTAATAACTTTAAAATCAAATAGAACAAAAATTCGCAAAGCAATGACAATTCAAAGATTCATGACCTGGGAAATACTAAAGCCACCCTCAGCAAAATTTTGTTGATAAAGCCCAATATTTGCTCCATCCACTACAGCTTCGTAGTCAGAATGTTTTTCCAGCCAATCCTTCACAAAACATCAGGAAAATGATGAAAAACATGACAAGTAAATGTGTAATAGAATTCAAAAACATCATAACTGATCCAGTGAGAGCACCATCTGAGGCATAAAATACAGAACGATCATTTCTTTCCAGAAAACCTATATGCATTTCTTCTCCAAAATGCACATTAAGATGCTTCTCTCACCTGAAACTCTTTAAAGCTGGACTGTGACTCCCTTTCCATGGCTAAGGATGCAACCAACTGCGAAAACATTTCTGTTTCTGCCTTGTCAATGTCAACGCAAACCAACTGCTCTGAACAAGTGTGGCACAGCCCATCTGAAGCAATATTTGACCTCTGCACAACCCAATTACCCTTCCCAAGCCATCCAAGTCCATGCCACCCTCCCCCGTTCCTCAAAAGCATTTCTTTCACCTGTCTTGCATCCCAGTCTAGTAAACCCACCTCACATGCCTCTTCCCCTCCAAACCACCTCTCAATTATCTCTGCTGTCGCCTTGCTGACTCCCCTGACAGCCATTCTCAACTTGTGCAAATATTTATAAACATCCTCTTGCCTCCCTTTCTCCAAGCTCACCTTAAGGATAACATAAACAAAACAAAAATAATAATAAGAAGATCAACAGCATACATTGGCTGATATTTTATATATTTATTTATCTGTTCTAAATGTATTCCTTAGACTAGCTTTGTTATAACTTCCTGCTACTTCTCCTCACTTGTATACTATTTATAGTCTGCTGATCTTTCATTAATAAATACAATTTCTCCATAACCTTACATACATTACCTCATAAAACTACCAATTAACAAGTGTATCAACCAATTTTTAACAACAAACAACATAAAGACAGAATTATTAATTTTTTTTGTAACAGTGCATAGAAGAGGTTAGTTACTAACCTCAACTTAAATAGATAATTTGATATATGGCAATACTCTAACATCAACAATATACCAAAATGCAAACCGCTATACTCACCTTTAACAAAGCGGAAAGCTCAGGCTCCTCAAGTTGCAGGCCAATAGAGACCATATGCTCCTCCACTTCATAGGCCTTATCAGCATCCCCATTCCGGCAAAAGCAAAAGAGGGCCGGCCCATAGGTCCTGAGCCTTCCGGCGTTCCCTACCCCTCTTGCGAGCTTGAACGCGGCCTCGCCATCGTTATTAGCGGCAGCCAGCCGAGCAACAGAGGTGGCGGTAGCCTCATTGGGGGCGGCATCGCCGGAAACCATCTTTTCGTATACACGGAGGCCGAATTCGATTGCGGCCTGCTTGGTATCCGGGTTGGAGACGGCGTTGGAGCAGACGTAGAGTAACGAGTTGAAGTGCTGGTTGGTTAGGCGGATTGAGGAGTGTGCGGAGTCGTAGAGGGAGATGGCAGCGGCGAGGTCTTTGTTTTTGGAGCACTGGTCGAGGCTCAAACGGAACTGCATCTCCGGTGTCACAATCTTCTTCTTCTTCTTACATCTTTGGTTGTCGCCGGAGGTGTTCATGGCAGTTGCGGCGGTGGAGCGGCCTGTTTTGGCGAATCGGAGTGGGGTTTAGCGGCGAGCTTGAAGAGATGCGGCACTGCGGCGGTGACTTTCCTACAGAGTAATTTTAAAACAGAGCGAATTACTTTATTAGTCCCTCACAAGTACAGTGATTTCCACTTTAGTCCCATAAATATTATTTTTTGTCTATTTCATCCTTCCTAGATTCTTCATTTCAATTTTTTTTCTTGACCTTAACGGTAGGAAGCACATTTAATCCAGTACCATACTCAGCATTTGTTATATCGTGCACCAGGATGCACGAAGCATTTGTTTTGCCCATACTCCCATTCGCATCGAGTCCAGGGACAAGTGTTGGTCATACTGGTTTTTCCATACAAGATAGAGGTTCGAACTTCCAACCTCTCTTGCAAGAGTGTACAGCCATTATAGCTAACCAAGCGGGTTATTCTCAATTTCAATTTAGACATCATAATAATAATATTTTTTCTCTTCATAGAAACAACTTTACCAAAATACACTTATCGACAAGGTTACATGTTCGACTCTCATTAGAAGTTGTCTATTGACCTTCTTGACTTAAGCATGTTAGTTATGAGTAGGATCACAAAGCAGAAATTATCCCGTGCAAACCTCAAATAGTAATTACATATTTCTTTCATCATTTTAAAACAATAATGTTTTTAATAGCATAAACAAAAAATCAGATAACAAACGATAGAGAATGCAATTATTTGTATACTAGAAGCAATCCCAATCAAGTTAGTCAACGTGGGAGCTGTCTATTAGTATCCTTAGTTTAAATCGATCAGCTGCTAAGGGCATTCCATATTTATCAGCATATGCATTGATATCTAATAATCTAGTCATATAGTGAGCTTGGATTCAACAGATTCAACTATAGCCTTGTACAGATAAACACACAAGCAAATTGCACATACAAAAGATGCCATCCTATTCAAATGATATTAGTTTTCAGCCAAACTCACAGAAAGATTATGAAAGAGGCACAAAGCAAACATCTTTTCAGTCTTGCAATCTTCTTGGAACTACAAAGGTCATAAAATTCTCAGCAATTTGATGCCATTTCTCAGCAACTTGCAGATAAAAGGACATCCTGCAATACTAATTTCATCTCAAACTAATAAACAAAAGGGAGGAATCTATATTTAACTTTCCTAGAGTACTCCAAATATCTCTCACCAAAGGTCTCTACCATCAACACTTCCTCTAATTCGGCCTTTTGACCATAGTACACCAAGCAAACTGCAACGGTGAAGAGAGTGCTCAGAGGTGCCCTCAACGCGATGCAATAAGTAGCAAACAGGAGCATGGTTGACGCATAAATGGGATGGCGAACAAACCGATAAGGCCCAAACTGCACAACTGCAGTGGGCACCACAACCTTTTCCGAATAATTGGCTAAGTACAATGTTGAATGATACTGCATGAACAGTGTCATGATGATCAAACCCCAGACACCAGCATTGCTCCAGCCACCAGGAATGAGATGCAATTCTGGTCCTTCGAATGCTGCAATCCAATGCCCAACCGTAACCCCAGCACCGAATAACAGCTTCTGCCAATTAGGAAGGCTAATGTCCCACTTGGGATCGTGCTCTCTGGGGAAGAAATCACCATATAGACGCTTCCGAACACTCACATTGAAGAAAAAGAAGTAATGGTACACAAAAAAGAACACAAATGGCCACCCTTCGAGGAATCCATTGAAGTGAGCAGGTGGGACTAATGTCAGCCAAGTAAACGCAGAAGTAACAATAGCAAGTTGCTCAAACACATTGGCATCACCGCGCAAATGTTTGTTAAGGCAATAAAACCCATACACTGCAATCACAATCGCCGCCATCCATGGCCAGAACAGCCAAGTCCAGCTAAAATACATCCAGAAGAATGGGTTGAACACTGCACTCACAATCCACTTCGGCACTGCAATTGCAATTGCAATCACCACAGACCACTTGCACAAATCAAAAGGGGTCAGCTGAGAAAAGTTCGATTTTATCAATTCCCCAGAGTGATTTTTCAGGCTTTCCAAGAACAAGGCCAGCTGAGAAAAGCTCGATTTTATCGATTCCACAGAGTGATTTCTCATGCTATTCAAGAACGGGGTCAGCTCAGAAATGTTTGATTTTATCGATTCCACAGAGAGATTTCTCAGGCTATTCCCGAACACGTTCCCATCATCAGACTTTGCAGATGAGTGTGAACCGGAGCATTTCAATGGCAGAAAAGAAAAACGTTCAGAGGGTCTCCGTAATGATAGAGAAGAACTCAGATAGGTCTTGCTGAGCTTGAAGCATGCATTGGAGTGTAAATTCTTCGCTGGAAAAGTGCCTTCCAGGTGTTTGTGACAATGTCTGAAAGAAACTGAATTGCCGTTCGGCAGGAAAACACCAAAAGGCAATACCTTTGAGCCGGCCAAAACGGGACACGATACCATGGCTGGATTTCAAAAGCGAGAGCTCGGAGAAGCGCAATCCTACAGAGTATATATCAAATTAACTCTTTTTGCAGAGAGAGGGTGCCATAACCTCGGGTCATTTAGGAAAGTATTAGATTGAAGAAATGAAGATTGAACAAGTAGAAACAGAATCGGCAGAGAGATTATGAGAGAACAGAAAAAAGAAAAAAAAAATCTGAGTATATGAAATTCTAGAAGGAACTGGCAGCTAAAATGCACTTTGAATCTGGCTTGAATACTCTGTTCGATAATACTAATCTCTGGTGGCATTTTAGTAATTACATTGAAGATTTAAATTGCTAACCGTTTACCTTCCGCGACGTCGTTCCATATAGTATATATATCTTATTTATCATTTGAAATAAGGTTCAAATTAGTCATTGAACGTAATCTGAAAGTGCACTTCGATCACTAAATGAAAAAATACAATTAAGTTACTGGATGCTCTAAATACACTCATTTTTTCGGTTATCTACTTACGTAGATGATGCGTTTGCATTTTTTAAATAACTTTTATTTTAAAAAATAGGTTAAGTTGCTGGAATGGTCCTATCCTCCTGTAATGTTAGTGGCCCTGGGATTTGATGGCAGGTGGGTAGAGCTAATTATGTTATGTGTGACTACTGTCTCATATAGCTTTATGATTAATGGTTCCCATAGCAGGTCGGTTACACCCACCCGTGGCCTAAGACAGGTTGACCCTTTATCCCCTATCTGTTTATTATTTGTGTGGAAGGTCTTTCCTTGTTATTATAGCAGGCACAGAATAGGGGATTGATACATGGATGCAGGGTTGCTAGGGGTGCCCCACCTATCTCCCATCTGTTTTTTGCAGATGGCTCTGGGATTTGATGGCAGGTGGGCAGAGCTAATTATGTTGTGTGACTACTGTCTCATATAGCTTTATGATTAATGGTTCCCGTAGCAGGTCGATTACACCCACCTGTGGCCTAAGACAGGGAGACCCTTTATCCCCTATCTGTTTATTATTTGTGCGGAAGGTTTTTCCTTGTTATTATAGCAGGCACAGAATAGGGGATTGATATATGGATGCAGGGTTGCTAGGGGTGCCCCACCTATCTCCCATCTATTTTTTTGCAGATGACAACCTACTTTTTTTCAAAGCAAATGTGCAAGAGGCCACTGAGGTTAAAAATTGTTTGTCTATGTATGAGAAGCTGTCTGGACAGGGAGTCAACTATCACAAATCCAGCATATACTATAGCAAAAATTAGCAAAAATACATGTCAAGAGGACAAGGGTGAGGTGGCACAGATCCTAGGAGTGGCTCAAGCTCCGAATTTTGAAAAATACTTAGGTTTACCCTATTTTGTGGGAAGAAATAAAAATGCAGTTTACTTATATTGAGGATAAAATTAGACAGAGGATTGGATCATGGAACAAAAAATTATTATCACATGCTGGTAAAGAAATTTTGTTGAAAAGTGTGGCCCAAGATATGCCTACTTTTTCAATGAGTGTTTTTTTATTGCTTATATCTGTATGCACAGCTATTGAGCAACTCATGAACCGTTATTTGGAAATGTTGGGCAAGCAAGCATGGAGATTGCTTACTACTGACTCATTGGTGTATCGTGTATATAAAGTCAGATACTATCATAAAGAGTCATTTTATGAAGCATGCTTAGGAAATAATCCCAGCTATTGTTGGCGCAGTGTAGTGGCTGCTAAGGGGCTAATATGTAGTGGTGTAAGACGACGTATTGGGAATGGAAATTCTACCTAGGAACATCCCTGGCTCCAAGATAAGCTAGATCCAATGATTCAAACTGAAATGCCACCGTAGCTAGCTGGAGCCAAAGTCGTGGGGCTAATTGATCAGGATACTGGCTCGTGGGACCATCATTTGCTTACTGATATCTTTCAACCAAGTGATGTACCTAAAATCCTCAAAATACCAGTTTTCCCCGAATATGATGATTTATGGTATTGGCATGGGGATCGTAATGGTTGTTACTCTGTCAAGGATGGCTACAGGCTCACTCTATGAAAAATTAGAATACCACTCAAATGGAGAACTTTTCTATGGAGAGCTATTATAAGTGATATCCTTCCCCACTACCAACAACTTGCTTATAAAGAGGGTAGAAGTTGATCCAATGTGTGCCATGTGTGGAATCATTCATGAGGACACTATGCACTCATTAGTTTTGTGTGGCTATGCAAATTCCATATGGACTCAATCCAACCTTCCACTCCCCAATATTGTGACAAATGTTTTTCATGAATGGTTTAGTGCAATCTTGAATGTTCTAGACACTAATGGAATTATGTTCGCAGCTGCGATTTTATATCATATTTGGAGAGCGCGGAATGGAGCTGTTTGATTGGGATGCCTGTCTACCGATGCCAAAGAAATTGCTTGCAACCGCTACTGCCACCAGAAAGCTTGGAAGTGTCCACCACTGAACAGCTGCTCTAACGCCGGCCGAACACGCTACCGCCGCAGCCAACACTATTTCTACTGCCGATATGCCACTGCCGGCCGAACTCACGGCCCACGCCACAGCCTATACAGCCCAACAGCCACCGCCACCACTGTTGCTGCAACCTGGACAGCCCCACGAAATGCCAACAAGGCCAAGAAAATGTTATATCGATGTAGGTTATAATCATGAGACAAATTCGGCTACGGTCGGAGCAGTCCTCCTCGATGCTGACAGCCGCTATATTTCGGCCTTCAGCGCCCCCCTCCCAAGTTGCTTCTCCCCTTTTATGGTCAAAGCGTTTGCATGCATGAGGCCTTGTCATGGCTAAGGGCGCGTGGAGAAGAGTCTATACAACTACACACAGATTGTCAAACATTGCAATGTTATCTATCCGCACCAGACACCTCGTCTCAATCGTACATTGGGTACGCTATTGATAATTGCAAACTGACATGTCTGCTTTTAGTTCTTGCTCAGTCACTTTTATTCCTAGATTACAGAATATACTAGCACATACTTTAGTTACTACATCTTTTAATTCCACTATGGCTATGTACTGGGACAGACTCTATTTCAGTTTATCTATAAATACAACCCATTTATTGACCTTCAAAAAAAAAAGTATTCAGTAGTCTAATTACATTTTTTTAATTCAGTAATTTAATTACACCTTCAAGTTATATTCACGGACTAATTTCAACATTATTCCTTATCATTTTATTGCTTGAATCTTAATACAGAGGTTAGAATTGTCATTTCACAATCGCTATCCATCTCGATTCTCGAATACTCGGAGCTTCACCTGTGACCTGAGCATTGTGGTTGAGACTTGAGAGCTTTAAGATTCTGTCAATTTATTTACATTTAAAAAAGAAAAAAATAATAAAAAAAAAGTAAAATGGCAGCAACTGGATTTTCTTTGCGGCACTCAATTCCCAATCTTCCTCCCAATAACTTCTCCTTGAACTGCTCTAGAAATGGCGGGCTGCGGCGGCGGGCAGGTGGATGGAAGAATCCGAGAGGAGCGGTGGCGGTGAGGTGCTGCACGGCGGTGGTGGAGGAGAAGAACCGGACGGTGACGCTGAAGAACGGCAACGATTCTCTGGATATATGTAGAATCCTGAATGGTATGTGGCAGACTAGCGGTGGCTGGGGCAGAATCGACCGAAACGACGCCGTTGAGGCTATGCTCAAACACGCCGACGCCGGTCTCACCACTTTCGACATGGCCGACCACTGTACTCTTCTCTCTGGATTTTTACATATTCAATTTCTGTTCTTTTTTTTTTTTCCTTTTTCTTTGAAACATTTTCGAATGGATCAGTCTGGGGCAAAATCGTCAAATAGCCATGACATTTCAAGCCTACACCTCTCAATATATATATATATATATGTACGAGCTTAGCTAACTAGTTCAGTAGATAGTATTTAACTAGTAATGCGAGAATTATGTTTAAAGTGGACATATTCGTCGTGCACACGACATTTGGCATGTCTATTGAGCCCGATTTACCCTAATTTACATCCTCCCACGTGGGGACCTGGGACGGAGAAGAAGATAAGATATATAAACTACACGTAAATGGAAATTAGAAGTGAACAACTTTTTAACAATGGCCGAGTGCTTGCACTGTCCCTTTAGCCAATTCACTTTCAACACAGTCAAGACAAAGTGTTTTAGATTGAGAGAAGCAAGAAAGGCATCAGAAGGGGCGTTTTGTTGCTTGTTGACTGAGGATAAGCGGCGGAGTGTTGTTAAGAATGGCAAAGATTCATTAGACATCTGCAGGGTTGTCAATGGCATGTGGCAAACTAGTGGTGGGTGGGGAAGAATCCAGCAAGAGAGTGCAGTTGATGCCATGCTTCAATATGCTGATGCTGGACTCAACACTTTTGACTTGGCTGATATATGTACATCCTTTTCTTTTCTTTGTTGTTTTTGGTGACAAGGAAACCGTCATAGGGGGCGTGTGGCCCTAGCTGGCAAAGGATTAAACCAAGAAGGTCAATAGGCCTTCTGAAACCAGTTTAGGAGGTAAACCAGCCTAGGTTGCTTATAGCTGACTTACTAAAACTAAGAAGGCCAATAGACCGTTGGGAGTCGAACTTAGAACCTTAGGGTGTGCACTAGGTAAACCCCGCCATGTGGCGGCCCTAGCTGGCAAAGGATCACAATGAAGTAAACCAAGAAGGTCAATAGGCCTTCTGAAACCAGTTTAGGAGGTAAACCAGCATAGCTTGACTTGCTGAAAGCCTGAAACTAAGAAGGACAATAGATCGTTGGGAGTCGAACTTAGAACCTTGGGGTTGCCCCAATATATGTACATCTTTAAAATTTGGAACTCATGTCATAGTTCCAGCTGTGCTTCCTTTGTTTGTTTAATCTTACCTAGATGAATGGCTATCGAGTTTACTTCTAAATGGTGCCTGCAAGTTCAATGGTTTCTTGGTACATAGCCTAATACTCTGGTAATGATGATGTGTATTGCAGATGGACCTGCAGAAGATCTTTATGGCATCTTCATCAACAAAGTACGCCGAGAGCGACCCCCAGAATATTTGGAAACTGTCAGAGGGTGAGTTAAAGAAACGTACTTTGCATTGAATATAGAATCTTGTATGTTTTCACGGAAGCAATTCGAATTCACTCTTCTTATCCTGCGATTCAGTCTTACCAAATGGGTGCCACCACCAGTGAAGATGACCGGCAGCTTTGTCCGACAGAACATTGATGTTTCGAGGAAAAGGATGGATGTTGCATCTCTGGACATGCTTCAGTTTCATTGGTAATGAACACTTTTACTCTTCTTTGTATCTGTGACTAAATCCCGATACATTAATAACAAATGTTCTCTTTTCAGTTTTCCTAATATGTTATCAGGGTTGAGGAAACAAATAGCTTTCTTTTATCAGTCTTGTCTAATCCAAGAGAGTTCGTAATAAGCAGGCCATTTAGTTTGAGATTTTAATTTTAGCTCATTCAACTTGTACCAGGTGGGACTACTCTAATCCCGGGTACCTAGATGCATTGAAGCATCTAACTGATCTTAAAGAAGAAGGTTAGCTGTTTAATAGCCTTGCGGAACTCGAGCTTTTCCATTCTTAGATTTGATAGTTTTCTAGTGTACAGGTAAGATCAAGACTGTTGCTTTGACTAACTTTGACACGGAGAGGTTACAGATAATTTTGGAAAATGGCATCCCAATTGTTAGCAATCAGGTTATATAAATTATATCAATTGGTTTCTTTTTCATAGCATTTTTTTTTTTTTTCAATATTTTGGCATCCCTTGCTTATCTCAGGGTAATATTGGTTATTTCTCTAGGTTCAGCATTCTATTGTTGACATGCGTCCTCAACAGAAAATGGCAGAGCTTTGTCAACTATCTGGAGTTAAACTTATAACGTACGTCTCTCTCTTTCTATCCCTTTAAAAAAATGTGTAACATGCCTGCAAGTGCTTAGTTTTTCTGTAAAATTGCGACAATGATATATCATCAGCTCTTATTGAGCATTTTAACCTTATTCTGGGATACATAAGGAACAAGAGGGCTTTGGAGGGGGGGGGGTTGATGATGGATCTCTGAAAGTCAAGCACGCTTAACCACAGAGTTCTTTCGTTATCTGGTTGTCATATCCTATTTAAAACCAATTGGTGATAAGTATGTGGACATTAACCGTTGAACCACATCCCTCCATGGCGCCACGTCTCGAATCGAGCAGGGGCAAAACTCGGCCAACCCGGCGGACGCCGAACAGTTGACTTGTTTGGTTGGTTGGTCAAGGAGATGTTATGTTTTGGAATGTTGGATTGACCTCAAGCTACTGTTATTGCTTATTAGTCAATCTTGTCGTGTGTTAGATTGTATTATTTAGTCCCACTTCATTTCCTACTTACGCGTCTTTAGCTTTCCATCCGTGCAGGTATGGAACTGTAATGGGAGGGTTATTATCGGAGAAATTCCTTGATACCAACTTAATGATTCCATTCGCTGGTCCTCCATTGAACACTCCCTCGCTGCAGAAGTACAAAAGGGTATATCTGTTTTAGGGAATTTATTGCTAGGTAGCAACCAGGATAACCGAAAACAAAATATTGATAGGAAGAATTAAGGAGGGGCCGGTAAATTGGCCTAAGGAATCGTAAACTGTCCTTTTATAGTTTTATTGCTATGTTTTGAACTGCTCCTCACTAAACATTCCCTGTCGTTTTCACTGGAAAAATCGACAACAAAAAATCGTTTGTTTGGGGAATTGGCAGGCAAAAGTTTCTTTTTCTCTCGACTTTTATGAACATCTGAACGAGTTTCTTTGCTTCTGGAGCAATAAAATCGAACAATTTTGCAGATGGTTGATGCTTGGGGAGGATGGAGCCTCTTCCAAGAGCTGCTTCAGACACTGAAAGCAGTAGCCAACAAACACGGGGTCTCCATTTCAACGCTCGCTGTGAAATACATTCTAGACCAGGTTCCAATTCCGATTCTTAGTCTCTTCCCCAACAAACTACATTACGTCTTTAAGTTCCTATAATTCTTCATTACCATTGCAGCCAGCCGTGGCAGGATCAATGGTAGGCGTTAGGCTTGGCCTGTCGGAACATGTCAAGGATTCAAACGCTGTTTTCTCTCTCGTCCTGGATGAAGAAGATGTGGGTCGTATCCAAGATGTCACGAGGAAGGGAAGAGATCTTCAGAAAGTGATCGGGGACTGTGGAGACGAATACAGACGTGGGTAGAGGTATCAGAAATTATGTTTTGGCACAACGTATTGTCTTCATGAACAAATGTTCTATGGCAGATACCTTCATATATTGAGTTACAAGCCATTGTTGTTCCATGTCAAGGATTGTAGATTTGTAACCTACAAAACTATAGTATACCATAGATGGACTTTGCCACCTATATATATTTCAAGAGAGTTCGTAAAATGGGAACAACTCTAGCTAAATTTGTCAGACTATTTAGCATAACGACTACAAGATTACACGTTCCACTCTCGGTGGGAGAAGCTTATTGATTTTTTGTCATATTCCTTATAATTTTTTTATTATATTTCTTTCAAATTGCCATATTCCTTACAAATGTTCTTTTTTTTTTTTGGTCAAACAAACATTTATGTTGTTGGTTGCACTTAGAGCAATCCCACTAAGGATTTTTGCCCAGTTTTTGAGCCAAAAAAAAAAAAAAAAAAAAACTAGTGGTTGGTTTTTATTTAATGAGAAAGAGGGTTTTTAGAGTAGTGTTTTCTTCTGCAAATGTGATTTTTGAGTGAGGTTCACTTTTGGAGAGACGGGGGGAATGTTGCGCAGCTTGTGTGTAGCAATGTTTGTGCCCATAAGACGCATGCAGTGCACGCACTTTTAGAGTGCGTAAATAGCCTTTAGTTTTTTTTTTTTTAATCTGTCATAATTTTTTCCTCTTCTCACTCCTTTCTCTCTCCTACATGACTTGCAAAAAACCACAAAAAAATTACAACAAATAAAATTGCTTTTACAAAAATACATAAAAATGACTAAAAACCTTATAGTCGAGCAATATAACTATGACTCTTCCAAAAGAGAGTAGAAGTGCATAGCTATCCTTCCCACACAAGTTGGCAGTAGAAGCTGTCCATTCCACTTCACAGAAAAAGGACGTATACAAATGGGATAAAAATGAGAAATATACGGTAAACAAAGGTGTCTCGTCATCAAATATTATTGTTAAAATGGAAAAACATAACATAAGTGCCCATGGCCTAATGGATAAGGCGCTTGACTTCTAATCAAGCGATTGTGGGTTCGAGTCCCACTGGGCGTGCATTTCTTTTTTAGTTATTGGCGAGCTAAACCATGGCCAGTTCCATCAAAATTAAGCATATCAATTACGAAATTTAGAAAAGGATAATACAAGTGAGAAACAATTGCACACCCACCTAAGTCAATTACCAAATTAGGACAACAAAATACATATACAAAATAATAATACTATTTTCTTTCCTAGTTCACATGAGACAATTAAAACTCTTTATTTTTAATGGGTGCAGTGTCTATGAATTAGTTAATCTCACGTAAGTTAAAAGTTAATCTACTTAATAATCAAATAGAAAAAATGCAATCAAATAATGCTACATCAAGATATAAATGTTAGGAGACAAATTTTAAAAAGTGCGTGTAACATTATTACTTTATACTCCGTGTAAAATTACAAGTTGGCATCTGGTTAAATTCAAGAACTATCATACTAGCAATTCATGTTGTCTAGTCAATAATGCTTCATCCACGAAACAAAATAGGAGTCATGTGCGATATATTAATTTGGGCCTTTTTTCCAAGTAATTCATATAGATAAATAAAAGTTGTTCAAAAAAAGTTGTGTCAAAATATAAATATATTATATAAAAATACATCTAAAAATTCACTTAAAAAATGATATGCGCCGTTTCACATTTAAACGCAAAAGCATCCACCAAACAACTGTTTCACAATCACATGGATTTTCTATATAACATTTAACAATTTTTTATTTGTCATCATCTTTTTGCTCATCTATTTGAATTTCTTCAGTAATGAATTTTTCAAGAGCTCCCTTTTGAGATTGAGTTAGTTACTTAATTCTTCTTTCCCTTTTACGCTTCTCAGACCTATATGAGTATTCTCGAAAACATAATTATAAAATCCTAAGGAACAAAAAAAAAAAGAAGAATTTATTTAAAACTACTATGAATAAATAATTAATCAATAAACAAATTCTTGCATATATTATTCAAAATTATTAAGTTGTGTCAATAAACAAGAACTGTGAAATAATACGTACTTTTAATTACTTGTCAAGAGAATTGAAGAATTTGAGGGTTTGTGCGATCAAGAAGAAACATTTGCTGAGAATGCAGTACTACGTGTTATGAATTCGCGACAGTACTACGGTGTAGGTTAACTAGTCGCTAATTGCCTATTGGAAAGAATGGGAAATGGTGGAAGAAATTTTAAAATCTAGTGTAATATGAAAAAGTATCCTAATAGGAGTAGGAATATGATTTTGTGTCAAATACTAGTAGTAGTAGGGATTAGGAAAGCACGTACGGACTTAGCTCAATGGTTCAGTAACAAATTATATTGTGTATCAAGACGCACAATGCATTTTGTGTCTTAGTGCACGATATAACGATTGTGGTTCACTAGGGAAAAAGAGAAGAGAAGAAAAGGAGGGATTAGGGAATAGAGAGTCCAGGATTATACTGTATACATTTTTTTTATTTATTTAATGAATTGGGTCAAAATTTAGTCTTGATTTAAGCAATTAATAATTAATAAATGGCCTAAATTGTTATAAATTTTTAAATTTGTAATATTTATAAAATTAAATCGTATATTTTTTTTTTATTTTTTCAGCAACCGTCAATTTTTGATATATCTAAATGGATATATAAGAATCAACACAATTTATCTAAACATTGTTTTTTTTTTTAATAATAAAGTTTCACTTTACTAATGTCTAAGATTTTATTATATTTTGAAGCGATTGATTTTTTATTTTTTGAAAATTGAAGCGATTGATTTATGAATGGTAAAATTAAGGTGTGTAGCATGTTACATTATTTTAAAAACAATGCTACAAACCCTTCATGTATTTCTCTTACAAATTTTAACTCCTCAGTTAAATTTATTTATTAGTTAGTTATGAATTAGCCATTGGCATCTAATAAATGAAAGCATGATAGAAAAATTTGGTGGTAAAAATTAGGAAGGAAAACATTTTCCTTATTTGAATACATAAAAAGAAAATATAAATTTGGTGGTAAAAATTAGGAAGGAAAACATTTTCCTTATTTGAATACATAAAAAGAAAATATAAATAATTTTATTTTACTAATAAAATCTCTTAACAAGGTGGCGCTGGGGCTAAACCCTAGGTATATATATATGTTACCTTCGCATTCTCAATTTTGTCTTCAGAGAAACCCTAGCAGTAAAGAGCGGCCTCCCATTCCCAGAGCTTCTCTCATCCTCCAGAGGTGCTCTCTTCCTCCCTTTCTCTGCTATACGCATAATTTTTTATCCGATCGTATATATGTATCTTGTTGGATCTGTATCCATAGGAATAACATATCTGGTTTATTGCGAGAATCTGAAAATTTTTCGGTTTTATTTCTGTGAAATCAGGAACAGCGAAAGGAAGAAATGAAGGTGATCGCCGCTTACTTGTTGGCCGTCTTGGGTGGCAAAGCTTGCCCCTCCGCTGATGACCTCAAGCACATCCTCTCATCAGGTACACTCCTCTCCGCATTTTAGTATTCATTGATTTGCTATAGGGTTTGTGTGCTTGTTTTATTAGATGTGGAAATCTTCATTCTTTCTTGTGTTTTGAAGTCGGTAGTTTCTTAAAGAATGTAGCTTTGCCTATAATTTTTTATTTTTACTTGTAGGTACTAGTAGGTGATAAACTGATTTACAATTCCTCTGTAAGTTTAGCCAAAGTGGAATATTTGATTTCATGACTCATGAGATGATTGTTGTAGGACTGTAAGTAGATGGGATCAAATATTAACTCTACTTGTCCTCTTGTGATTTCAATTGGAATGTACATATCTAAAGATAGTTGTTTGAAGTGTGTTGAACTTATTATTCAGTTATGTTTCAAGTGTTTGTAGTATGTATTGTAGATGAAGTTTTAGGGAAAATATTTCAAGTGTACTAATAGTTCATATGTTAGAGGACATGACAACTTATAACTGAGTTGATGCAACTGAAAAAAGGCTATATGTAGTTTGTCTGGTTAGTGTTGCATTATATACTCATTTGGTATCTGTGGGATATTGATTAAATCTTCACTTGAATGTCAATTTATAACTTAGTTGATGCAACTGAGAAAAGGTTATATGTAGTTTATGTCTGGTTAGTGTTGCACATTACCCATTTGGTATCTGTGTGTTATTGAAATCTTTACTTGAATGTCTGCAGTTGGTGCTGACTGTGATGCCGATAGAATTGACCTACTCTTGTCCCAAGTGGAGGGAAAAGACATCACCGAGCTGATTGCAGCTGGAAGGGAAAAGCTGGCTTCAGTACCTTCTGGTGGTGGTGGTGTGGCGGTAGCTGCACCTGCTTCCGGTGGTGGTGCTGCTGCTCCAGCTGCTGAGGAGAAGAAAGAGGAGAAGAAAGTTGAAGAGAAAGAGGAGTCCGATGATGATATGGGTTTCAGTCTTTTTGATTAGTTTGGTGCAATGTTTCTCTTATTTTAAGAGTCTGTCCTTGAATTTTCTTGTAGGATCGCCATATGGATTCTGTTTTCTTTTGAGTTCAATTTAGAAAACAAATTGAAGATGCTTACATACGTGGTGGTATTCAGTATTTGTTAACTTTGAAATTTTTCTGATTGCTATTTTAGATATTATTATATCAATTGCATTTTTCCAAGCTCTACTATGTGGTTCTCAGATCATGTTGATTTCTTTGTGTTATTTCCAACATTATAGAAATGTAATATTGTCTTATATGAAGTATATTTTAGGCTCAAGTATCATTTTTCATCATGAACCTTAAGTGATTTTTTAAGTTGTATTCTAACCTTTCATAAGTGTTGATTTGATGCATAAGCTATAGTTTTTTTGTTCGCCTAAATTTTTTTACAAGTTGCCTTCAAGTAATAGGTTATAACTTGTTGATGTGGAGGTAGTTGTTGACGTGTTATGATGTGTAGAGGTGGCAGCCATTTTATTACTTTTGTTCAAGTAACTCCAAAATTGAAATATGAAAGCAAATCCTAATTTCAATTTGCTCTAAATCGGAAATCACAATTGCGATGAATAAACCCAAGTATGCAATTGAAGTCTCCCAAAATTTGACGACTCAAACCCTAAATTCTTAAATCGAGACGGCATCCATACGTTTCAACTATCCAATTAAAACTAACAGAGCGTCTATATACGAAAGATGAGTAAGGTATGTAG